CTAAAGGATTTCCCTCTTCCTCCTCCTCTGTGAAGCCATGACACAGTGCATTTATTTTATTCTTTGTTGAAACATAAACAACATTTATCTTTGTGGAGCCTGACAGCCTCGAGGAGCGGTTATGTCAGGCAGTGTGTAGGCCAGCTGACCAAGCTATGAGGAGAGGGCAGCAGCCAATAATCACACACTGAGGAAAGGAAGGACATTATACATATCAGCTCAGTTGGATTAGGACACTTGAGTCATGCTGGAGTAGCAATTAAAGAAATGCTTCTCTAAGGCATGAAGAGGAAGAAAAGCTTATATTCTTATGGAGCAGTGGGTATGAGCAGTTATTATGCCCAAGGCTCCAAAATTATGCACATAGATTCACAGTCACTCTGTGCAATCCATATTATATCTGTGGCTAACTTAGGAACACACACAACACACTCAATGTGTGCCTCTGCCTGTCACACACAAACACGCATTTACAACTAATCTGCCTGCTCCCTCTGATTAGTCTAAAAACAAACACGACAGCCACATACCTGTTGCCAAGCAACAGCAATGCTTGCTTGATCAGTCACCCATGAAATGCAGAGGAAGTCAGGGGACGGACAGGAAATCAGCCAGGGGGCAACTGATGAGAGGGGAGGAGAAAGACACATCTGCAAGATGCAGGCGCGCACGCACACACACAACATTAGAATACATCAGTGGAGATTGTGTGGACGTTTCCAACACTTTTCAACACAGGCTCAAAGCACTCACTGAGATGTGATTCTCACACACACACGCACACACACACGCACACACACACACACACACACACACACAAACACACAAACAGGACTGCAAAGCTATCCCTATTGGAACTTCCTTTCAAAACCTTATCCCTAACATTAACTGTAACAAATGAATGCCTTAAACTAACCTCAAAAACCATAATTCACATCTCACCTCTAACCTTAACCAGGAGCTCAGAAATTAAGTTTCACCTCATCAGGACCAGACATTGGTCCATGACTCAAAAGTCGACTGTCAGACGGTGTGGGGTGGTTGCGAGCGTGTAGGGGAAGGCGAGCTTGTGCTCATCTCAGCCCTGTGCTCTCGGAACCACAATTGCATGCAAAGCAGAAATGCTTGCTCACAAGTATGTTCTCTGCTCCCAGATATTGTTCTGCGGTTGTGGTTTTTACGGTGCCAGTATCCGAGAATTAATATATTATATTTGTACAGTTGGAGGAAGTCTATTCCACTTCCTCCAATAACCGCACATTCTGTTTCATGCCCAGTGGTAAATGTGGCAGCACACCTCGCTCATCGTCCAGTCACCAACACAGGGAAACAAGCTAAATCCCTATTGAGATGCACGGCAAGTAAAATGAATGCATAAACACCTGCTGTCTGTTGTGATCGGGCTGAAGGATTGATGAGGGTGGTTCTCTGTGCCAAGTGACATACTGTGGGAATACATTCACATACATGCAGTATTCACACCACACCACAAACACATGTTGCTGATGAGTTAACCTACTAAACCAGTTTGAGATGAGTACCACACATTTTGATTATCTGCCATAATATTGTAACGATCCAAGTTCAACTTAGCACAATGTTCTATGCTCCAAACCACAAGTCTGTGTGATATCAACTGTGTTTTGAGAAATAGTTTTATTTCTGATGTCAAGGAGAAGTAGTACAGTAGCCACAATCCTATGATTTGTGGAGCTTGCTGTTACCATGGAAATGTAAAAATCATGTTGATTATGATTGGACGATTGAGCGTTACATTACGTTTACCACAAAGCGGCCATGATTTCTTTTTGTAACATGCTGAGGTTTCCTAAAGATGAGGAAAAGAGTATAAAGATGAAAATCACTGCCACAAGGTTAAATTAAAAAAGAAATGCACTGGACGTCCTTGGATAGGGATCATTCACAAAGGTTTATTGGATACGTAGTACCTTTTGTTCACTCCATTTTCTTTTGCTTCGAATCAAATGGTTCATGGTTACGATGCAGCTGGTCGGCCTGGTTCCAGGCTAAGAACTCTTTTCACAAGGATTTTCTGAGACATCAATGGAGAAAATTTAAGGGAAATTGACTTCCTCAACCAAAGCCAATCTGAAGGTGGGCAGTCACTATTATACTCTATACACACAAATAGAGTTGATCATTTGTCGAATGTCAGAGGGCAACAGAGAAACACGCGAAAATATCACAATACACATGAAGTCATGTTCACTAACTTAAGGACAGAGTAGTTAGAGAAAGGCTGCAGTACCGCAGAGCTCTGCTGTAGAAATAATCAGGGTAAAATGAAGTTTAACATTAACATGCACAACTGCAGCTATAATCTCTCACAGACTAACAATGGGGTCCCTCGTGTCTCAGTTTAATGAATCCCTTAAGATTAACTGATGGGGTTGATTATTAACTACACAAAATCTCATCCTCCTATCATGACTTAACACTGAAAACAGGGTGAAATAAATAATTGCACAGAGACACTATAGGGTGCCTCTCTTATTTGTATATTGTTATATGTTCCTGTTCACACCACAGCTGCTGAGAAACACTGGTATCTTTTCTGCTGCACTCAGCAAACGTGAAACACTGTTTGAGCTGTTAATGTTAAGCTTTTCTCTAAAGTCTTTCTCTAATGAGTACGACACTTAGGGAAGTGTTGTGACTGCAGGGCTCGACAACACAACTCTTTCTGCTACACTTGTATCTGGACTGAAAGCATGTCCCAGCTCGACGCTCATTACCACGCACCACAGAGTTCCGCAAAAGACATTGCTCTATTTGGTAAATATAAATATTTAAATGTATCCCACCTCAAATACTACACTTGAATTAAATTTCAATTATGACTCAGAACCAAAGACTGCATATTAAGATGGACGGCATGACAGCTCCCCCAAATGTGAAGCCAAAAGATTTCAACCACCCCCTGGTGGCTGGCTTTAATGAATGTTTAGTATACATTCATTAACCCTGCTTCCTCCATGTTAGCAGATAGGGCATGCACGAAACTAATATGTCAAAGTACACATGAAATGATCTCTTTGTCCAGAGTTCAATCCGTATATTTACAAAGTCTGTTTCAGTCTCCCCTACAAGCCCAACACAGTTCAGTTCAATCCAGTTCAAAAAACGAAAAACAGATGCAATAAAAATGAACGCACAGCAGTGGGGGTGGGCAGGAAGATGCGTCGCAGTTCCGTCTTTTGGTATTGCAAACTGAAACCATGGACGTCTAGATTTTGGTTTTGGTTCAAGAATCGTTGGAGCCCTACAGGATGAGAACTAACCAAAGTCAGAACTGGCAAATGAATCTCTGGTATCCAAAATAGTTGCGAACATTTCTCTATGCAGGACCAGCTCTCACACAGTGGATGCTCCAGTCCGGAACAAGGAATTCACACTAATAATTAGCCAGTGAACTCCTGGCTCTGAATTAAGACTATGTTAACATTACTTTTGTAGTAATTAGTAAGTTGGCAAACACACTACAGCAGAAAAATACACAAGTCTTTTATTTACACTTTCTTATGTATTTTTGGTAAAGTTATAAATATATAAAAGCTGCTTCTTATAAATAGCACTGTTTCTGCATGTGACATAAAATGTCCCAAATATGCTGGAGGAATCAAACAGATCACAACACTCTGTTCTGTTCATTCCCTTGTGCTTGAAATATTGTATATGGACTAAAAATACAAAACATAGAAATGTTCCCCCACTCTGTCTCTATTACCTTGAAAGGTCATATTGATTCCTCCGTTCATCAGGTCGCTCTCAGTAGCATGCAGCCCGAAATGTAAACACAGGAAGCTGCACAGAGGAGAGAATTCAGCAAGTGTGCCTAACTTGTATTCTCCCTCTGCTCTTCAAGTATAGTATCAATCTCTTCAAAATGTAAATCTCTCCGAAACATTGGGCTAAAGATGTGTGGCGTATCATTTCTTCTTTAACAGTATGTGATCATATCATTCTTCACTGTCCCACAACTCTCCTTCCATCTGTGCCAACATTCACAACCTCAGACAGCCTGCACACGCCTGAGGAATGAGCATTAGGTCCAGTGTGTTTATTCAGTGCAGACTGCATGACCACTAGGCTCCTCCACACCAGCCATGTTTGACATTCTTCAAGAGACCAAATGAAGGACGCACACATGCATGCAGAGATATCGCAGTAGACACCTATACAACCTATTGAGAATCTATATAATCAGAATCTTGGGACTGCACCAGTACAATATTTACAGAGCCTAAGCCCAACTTAAGCCTGGGCTTCATGTGGGCAGCCATTGATCTCAGTGAAACGACTTTAATCACAGGAGGACAGCTTCCACTCAGGAGACAGTTTCACTGTTGCTGAACAGCTCAGGGGTCTTCTCCCCCGAGCAGCTAATTAACTCACTTCCCCACTTGTTATGGAGGAAAAAGTCTGTTGCTACTGTTTTTGTTTTCTTATAAATCTTAAAGTCAGATAAATATTTCAAAGCGGCTGTACACTCAACCTCATCACTTCTTCATGAGCCGAGATTTTTTTTTTTTTTTTACAGTAATTGACGAATGAAACTCAAAGTCCCACAGTGATAAATGTAGAATCTCGTAGTGGAAGTCAAATGAGCAAAGCAGTCAAGTAAACCTGTCAGACAAAGGCTGTTCAGGTATTTGGATACATTTTATACAGCAGCACTAGAATATACGTGAGGGATTACACACCCCGACAATCTGCCCCTCAAACCAAGCAAAGACAGTAACACATGGTGACACTCTGTGAAATGAGAGGAGCAGAGTCCTTTAACGTGAACCAGCCGTTCAGTTACTTTGTTGAAGAACAGTGGTAACAACATACAGAGTTTATACTGTAGAGAAAATACTGTGGTCTGACAGTTTAAAAAGAATGGATCTGTTGCTGCTCTCTCTATTGATGACAAAATTGCACACACGGATTTGCAGAGAAAAGCAGAGTTACAAACATGCATTCTACTTTCTTACCTTTCTCCACTGTGGTGATGCCCATAGATGGCTGACCCAGGCTGGTCCTCGTCTCCCACTTGCCTTCATCAGGGTGGTACATTTCCACAGAGGCCAGCGGAGTCTGCTGCTGATTCATGCCCCCGAGCACCATCACCTGGCCCCCCAGTGCCACAGCCGCAGCGCCCGCCCGTGCAGTGGGCAGTGGTTGCAACTGGCTCCATGTCTGGCTTTCCACATCCAAGACTTCGACGCTGTCCAGGGGCATACCGGTCTCGTTGCAGCCCCCCAGCACGTAGAGCAGGCCTTCGTGGTAGACGGGGGTGCAGTAGACGCGGCGTTGTGACATGGGGGGGAACTGCTCCCAGTACAGGGACTTGACAGGACTCACCGCCATCTCCTGCACGGGCATGTCTCCAGGGCCGAGAGGAGGGGACGCACCATCACACAGCGTGCTGGGGGAGGAGGAGGAGGAGGTGGTGCAGGATGGACGAGTGGAGTGAGAGAGGGGACACACAGGTGGAACTAAACTCAGCGAGAGAAGACGAAACAAGTGGAAGCACAACTTGTTTCTGTCTGTTTGAGTGACCACCTGAACTCTTGAGTTCACAGAGGGAAAGGGACAAGACGGAGTGAAAGATAGAGGGAGGAGGGGAGGTGTGGTGGGATGAAGAGGATATAAAGGCTAGTGGGTGAGAGGACGGAATAGGGAAAAAGAAAGACCGAGGGTATGAGGAGGATGTCTACCTCACTCCTCACCCAGATGTCACGACTCTCTCTATTCAAATGTTTTATTCATACAGCTGTTGGTGTTTTCGCGCAGTGAAGCCATCTGCCTTTCACTCCCGTCTGTTCCTCTCTCTCCAGCCCCTCTCTCTTCTTCCTCACCACATCCTGCCGACAGGTTTGGTTAAAGTTTCGGCTTTAGTATATTCCAGGGGAGTCCCGAAGGTTAATACTTAATACCACAAAAACCTAAACATCAATTACGGATGGATGAAAAAGAAATAGGAGCAGTGGGGAGATGGCCCTGGATCAAAGACCAAGAGAGGGAAAGTTACGGAGCACTGACATTCACCAGTGACCTGATAATCCAAGAGAAAGCCTTTGCAGCAGGGAATCTTCTATCTTCAAACAAAAAGACAATTTTACAGGGTACCAGTCCTCAGCTGCAGCTCCACAGTTCTCTCTGCACCCTGGTGACTGAGCCTGCACTGAAAAAAATCCTATAATAATAAATAAAACAAATTGTTTAAAGATCTACTGGTGTGTAGTGACTGCACGGCTTTCTTGTATTTTAAGAAAGAATTTCTTCCCTTAATTAAACAAGAGCTCCAAATCCCACGAGCTTTGTTCGAGGACTCGCTGTCAGGCACAGCATCTTCTGAGCTATGTGCTCCACAGCTTCCTGGTAGCTTTGGAGAGGATGGGGTTCCCTTAGCGACGCCCAGCCTGTAAGAAAAGACAACACAGGATTAGATGTTGGAGTGTAAATTAAGAGCTGGAATGAATTTTTAAACTCAGGAAATGAAGAACATCTTCTTTATATGCTCAACAATTAGACTTTATGTCATATTCCTTTAAGAACTTTACTGTCTAACAAGTGTAACTGTTGTTTAGACCAAAAACAGCACTGTGATAAAACAATGCAACGTGCTGTGATGGCCTCAGCTACATGAGACAAAGAAAACAGTCGAGCAATGGTAAACTGTCAGTACTAACAAGACATGCAGTGCTTGACCAATTAAATCTAAATATAGATATCAATTACAACTACCGGTGGAACCACGCTTGAGCTGTGATCTGTTTGGATCAACCCCCATGGAATCGCATGTGAATCACATATTAATTGCAACGTTTACATATTAGGGTAAAATAGAGTTTGACGGTCCCTAATAATTGTGGAAATTTCCGCCATGAAAAATGCAGTCAAATCAAAGCAGTTGTGTGTTCACATAATTCGCACTCGTTCAAAGCATTTTTTCGTTGTGAAAGCCTCGGTTACTGGAGGAGCAGACGAATTCGAGAAGCCATATGGATGATGGAAGAAAGATGTTACATATGTAGGCCCATTTGAAACAACATCATGTTTATTTGTCTGTGGCAGGACGTGCACGTAAGACTAGAATTTCCCACAGAATTGATTCGGTCTGTGGTGGTAGCACAGGAGCACCTGCACCCGCACAAAGTTTGCTCTCAAGAGCAACAGAGTCCGAGCGACAGCTACAGAGACGCATGTGAGAGAACTTCATTTAACATCAATCGTGGAAGGAATCAACAGAAAGCAGAAGCAAAGCAGTTGGAGATCTCTCATGTTATTGTGTCAGTGGTGGAAATGTTTTGGTTTTGTAAGTATTTTCTTATAAACCAGGGGGTCCTGATAATAATACACATATGATCATATCTGTAGATAATCCAGTGCCTTTTAACTAGTTTCCATATATTTCCGTCATGATGCAACAGCTATGTGCTGAGCAAAACACCCCTCCCCCTCAGGTGAAAACCACTTACGTTCTTGTAGAAGCAACACTTGCACTCATTGCTGACCCAAGCCAAGTTCCTGCATCGTGCCGACTGCAGCCAGAACAACAAGTCTACCCTGAGCACCCAGACAACAGACGATGAGCCAGTAAAGGTCAATATTACTGTGGCAGCAAAAAAGAGGATTCTGCACGTTCTCCGCAGTAGCAGAGTTTTTCTTTCAAACAAAATACAGCAGGAGATTCTCCAGTCAGAGACATTAACAATAACACATCATTTTCTGGAGTCTTCAGGTGAGGAGAGGTGCACCAGGCAGGATGTAACATATGAATTCTACTGTGAAGATCACAGTTTTGTTTACAACACATTGACACTGGCGTTATCGCCATGAGCGCCTGAATCTCGTTTTCTTTGCAAGTTGACGTCAATGTCGTCTACGTGTATGGCACCTCTTTTCTATCCTGAGATAATTGTATTCTATTTGTTTTTTCAGTTTCACATCTGTCAATTGTAAGACACATCATCAACACACCCACTCGCTCACACTGAATTCTGCATATAATCTCCATCTGCATGTTTTCACATGGACCTATTTATGTTGTCGTTTTAAAGAAGTAAGTCTGACCATGAGACCATGATCTGAGACAACCTTCATTCAAGTGGAAAATAATTTGCTTTCCATGCATTACCCACTAAAGTACTGAAAACATAAAATATAAAATAGTTACACAACAAAAGTTCAAACAACCCGAGGCATAAATGAGTCACGAAGACCTTGTTAAAAGAAATTGGCAGTGATTCATTAGATGTAAGAAGACATGAGCTATGAGATTCTTTCCCCATAATTTGGAATCAGCCCCAAAGGGAGTCAAAATCTGATCAAAGCATTACATTTGCAAATGTGACATCTCCTGATTTCCCAACTTTATTTTCTTGCTTCTGTAATGTATCTACGTGGATGACTCAAGGCTGAGGTGGAGGAGAAAACTGAGTCAGAACGCATCTCCTGTCAGGTCTCAATATAACAGCCTAGCATTCAGATTTACTGAGCATGTTATAATCAGCACTGAATTTGTGTGTGGATGTGTGTGTGTGTGTGTGTGTCTTGAATATACTGTGACCTGAGGATTGATGGGAAAATGACATATAGCAGGTGGGAGGAGAGAAGGAAAGCAGCACAGTATATCTGTTTCTCCTCTGCTGTCCTCATCCTCCATCTCTCTTTCACACACACACACACTGTACAGTATATTCATAATTAATGATGCCTTCTTCTAACCCCCAATTAGTGGCCTGAGCCCTGTAGAC